AGATGTGTATAAGAGACTTTACCACTCCTTCCTTTTCCTGCAGTTAGGTTGATTTTTTCTCCTTTCTTGTACCCTTTTCCCTTTATTATCCCTTCAATATCTACAGTATTTCCTTTTAATATTTGCCTTTTTTCCCCCTTTTCTTATTTCATTTTTATATTTACTTACCTTTCTTTCAGTTCTTTTCCTTTTAATTTGCTTTCTACATTTCTACTCCTATTTTTTACCCTTTCTTTTCTTATTTTTATCATTTATGACTTATGACAATTCAATTGATTAAATAATATGTGCCAAATTACACAGCATAATGCCAGTTACACCTGCATGGTAATTGATCAGGAAATTTTAATATTGATTACGAAAGGGAAAGTAATTGAGCCAAACCACCTGCCTTGGGCTATGTTTCTTGTCAACACAATATACTGTATACACCACATTAGGGTGTAGTGCCCTATTTCTTGATATCATTGTCAATACAATTATTATTAGACACCGACCTTCTTTTTGGACAATCTCCTGATCTACAGTAGGCTATTTCATATTTCATAAATCATACAGTAGTTACATTATGAATAAATCTGTTAATATTATCATTTTTTCTGTCTCTTTGAGTCTTCTCTCGTCAAAGCATGCCATACGAATTCTTGTTTTTACTATTTCAAATCACATCTGCCATCTGCTGTTTTCACAGTTAAATCTTAATTGTTTTTACTTTTTCAATGTTCTTTCTTTCTTCCATAACAATATTTAATAATTAACGTTTTCGTTCTTGACATCATCAAGGGTAGAGCAACCAATAATCAATAACAATAGATTGTTAAGAGTATGATCCAACAGACTTCTTTAGGTAAATTTTACAGAATTATTGATTGTATGTAAGGGGACTAAGGTCTTTCTAATGAAGGGTAACAGAAAGAAATTAATTTTTTTCCATCATTAGGCAGATGGGATCAATAACAAATTTTCAACTGATGTTTGTGTGTCAGTGGCTAATAACAGTTGGGTATTATATTAACACTTAATAATTAATTAGACATATTATTTTTATTATACATAAAAACACAATGTTGGTTTAAATCATGATTGTAGAATCCGGGCATTGAAAAATTAACCATTATTCGTCCTATCATTATAATCATCTTCTATATTGTTATATTGCAGATATTATTCTCCTGAAGACGATTGAAGCAACTCAATTGAAACTTCGAGACAAGAATTTTTTTGAGCGGGTGTGGGATTATACCCAGGGAACCCTATGTGCATGAACAGAATGAATCTGACATCGTTTTTTTGAAGTGGCAGTATGCATTTAAACAACTGCCCTGTGATTAAATGGCCTATCCAAAACTTGGCCTATTCCGGTGAAAAAAATCAGACATTACTCGTGCATCAAACGGAAGGAACACCCTAATTATAGTTATATAGTAGGCATAGGCGCCTAGGATTTGGCCTCTACTGTACCTTGAGCTAGGCAAGTCTTTTTGCCTAAACTTCCTTTCTTGATGTCGTAGGTTAGTTTTTGCCCTACAACAACCAATTCAACCAAACGCACCTATCACAAGGACCATGGTGTTGCCTATTTTTAGCTGCAGCTGTGGAACCTGTCAGTCCATTGGGCGGGTCTCTTTAGGGACGGAGCGCGGTGTTAGCGACAGTAAACAGCAAGTTTAAAGAATGGGCTTTGCATTTTCAATTTTACGGAAATCCCAATGTCTGATCTAATCAACTGGGTGAGTTTGAAGTCTGCCGAATTCGGAGCCAATTCCTTTATATTTTGTGAGCATTTTTTTTTTGCAAAGTTTTGTTTATGCAGTTAAAATGATAAATGGTAGCCTGAAATTTGAATAGAAAGTGTGTAGAGCGAGCAACTGGGCAGTAGTGGAGGCCCCTGCTCAAAAACGAAAAAAAATAATACAGGGAGGAATGTAGTGCCAGCTGGTGGGGAATCACCTGATAACAATATCCAGGATGTCCAATTAGGTGTCCCCCCAGATTTAGGTGACGTCACACAATCCACTTAAGAAATGGGCTGGCACTAAGACAGACAGTTGAGTTGGTCTCCGAAGGTTGTTGAATACAGAGGTATACAGTTAAAAGTGAATACACAGTTAGATTGCTTGGACTAAATTTCACATTAAAGTGACATTCCATTGACTGTGCTGTGCCAGCTAATACTTGGCCGTTTCCTGGCAAAACAACGTAACTTTTTTTTTCACTTTTGGAGAAAAATAGAGTTAAAGTTTGCATGTTCGAAACTTCGCAATAATTTGTCGTAGCCTTTTGAAATTTTGCAGGATTGTATATCTATAGACATTGAGATTATATTTAAAATTTTAATTACAACCATTTGTTTATTGCAAAGTTATTAGCGATAATTACAGATACTTTGTTTTTCCACGGATATATGTCGGGCTCGGTATTGCTGCAGTGCAAGTGCGACATATTTTTGGAATTTATCACGTTTGGGGTAATCATATGCATTACTTAGCCTGTTCATACATTGCTGTTTAAGATTTTTGATATAAAAACAACAATAACCATGATTTTGCCTTGCCAAACTCCATCGGTTCAAGACCATTTTTGAATACCATTCCGTGGCAAAACAACATATCTTCATCGCAGATACGTTGTTTTGCCGCGTAATCTTATAGTTACGTTGTTTTTCCACAGAAAATCACTACTGTAGATTTTAAGTTTCATGCTTAAAGATAGGTGGTGCTTGCTATCTCTGAAACAACTCATATTGAGAGCTGAAAGTTTCACAGGTAATTCAGACGTGTTTAACATACTCCCAAATGATATCAAAATCGACAAAAATGTCAGTTACGTTGTTTTGCCTCGGGACGGCCGTACTATAATGGCAATGACTGGTGGTTGGAGCATGGTGACGGTGTGGTGTGGGTTTTGTGATGTGGGAGGCCAGCTTTGTGTATGCCTGCCCTGGGCCTAGGAGGCTAGGCTAGAGTAGCCTAGGCTAGGCTAAAAAAGAGAGGGCTTTTTATAAAGTTATAACTACTGTTACTCTGCCTACCTAGTATTAAGTAAGCTAGGCCCAGGCCAGGCCTGGAACCCTTATTTAGCTTAGCTTAGCTTAGGCCTAGTTTCCTCCCAATGACCAGTCTATCTAGGGTCTAGGCCTAGGCCTAGGCCTAGGAGGAGGCCTAGGCCTAGCCTAGACTAGCCTATCCAGAAGCATGCAGCAGGCCTTCTCGGGGACGAATGTAACTGACAAACACTGATACTGTCTGTCATGTGTCACATTACATTTAACTCACCATTCCCTTGGCTGTTATGAGTTCTTAAAAAATCCACAAAAATATCTAATTCTCCGAACGTGATCCATAATAATAATAATAATAATACTGCAAAACTGTCATTTTCGCCTATCCGATTACCGAAAAAATGACCAACCTTCCTATATAGTTGGACGAGAGCCCTCAACCATATTTAGTTAGCCAACTAACCAAAACTAAGCTTCTCATCCAGGGGTTATGCTTTATCTTTATTGATAACGACTGGGGAAACGTCTGTTAAAGTTCATATTGTGCATAGAGGGCGTAGGCAGTTTTTGGTTTTACACCTGTTTACACCAATGCTTGCTCACAAAAAATACAGAAGAAAACGACGGAGACTGTCGTCTTCTTTCGGTAGATGTTGAACCTTTAGTGTTAGTGTAAAATAATCAGCATTAGGACTTTCTGCGACCAGCATGAGAAGGATTCGAAACTGACTGTGTTTATATAATAGTCGTGCTAACGTCGATAAGAATGGTGGCTGAATGGATAGTGTGCCTTGATAAAAGGTAAGTATAAGGTACAGGAGGTAGGAGGCGGGAGCACGAAGGAGGCCTATCCGGGGGCCTATCATAAGTAAACAACATTGACAACCACTCACTGCTGACCAGAACCACCATTTAACCCCTCATTAATGTTAGTGGGCTAGGGCTAGTAATAGTAGGCCTAGCCTAGGGCCTCCATACGTGTATATACCTTCAATTCACTTCATAATAATATATAGGGCCGAGGTATCTTGAATCATCGATTCTTGTAATTTTTTTCATGCACGTTTTCAAATATATAAATAAATAACATTTAACAAGTCTCATGTCCTGCGACACTCAAGTTCTATTCTTATTCTTTTATTATTGCCAAACAAAACATAACATAACAATTATCAGAAAAAAATAAGACTAATTGAGCTGATTGACAGGGACACAAAAGTGAACTAAATCACTATAACAAAAAGTCTGTGTGTCAAGTTCTCTAGTGGTTTGAAAAATTAAATAGAGTAGGCCTAGGGCCTAGCCTAGGCTTAAAAGCCAAAGCACCTTCATCATCAGGGCATAGATCATATCTTTATTTGCAGATTTCTTGTCTGCTACCTAGCAATCATGTCATGCAATGGTATCCCAGAAGACCACAGAACAGGAAGAGAGTTCACTCTGCTTCTTCCGTGTGTGAACACTAACATAATGCCCTCTGCCACTATACTAATCTGCCGTTAATTATAGAATAGAAGGCATAATACATTTGTTATATTAGGTCAGAATCTAATTTTCAGAAAAATCTGCGTAGCAATCGGTGCTTATTTTCTGAAATGCGCAGATGAATGCCGATTCTAACCTTCCTTATCATTTGAGAGCTTTTGATTTGCATGGTGACGCATCACTAAAGCGGAATAACTCATGCGTGACCATCCTACCGGGCGTTCCATGTTCTCTGCATACGTAGATTTGGCCAAATTGCATCCCAGAATCAACGCGACGAGGAGAACTTAACGTTCTCGCGTGCGCAGAAGACTTTTAGCGACATCATTACATTCTGCGTCCTACCGTCGTCGTGTAATCGAAAGCTAACTATTACCGAGATAGTGTAATGTACCGTACTGTATCTCTACAAACATTGATATATTTACAGTACAAAATTGATACTTTTATTCTATTTCCATGATTCCACTAAACTGAACCTTTAACAGTAGCTCATGAGAAATCAGGGATTGTGATAATGGGATGCTAATAAGAGGGTCCAGGATAGAGCATTATGGAGAAGTTGTTGTCAAAACGTTAACGTAAGAAAATTTTCATAATAATTTTGAAATAAACCAACAGACAGCAGAATTATCAATATGTAGAGCACACACTCACATGGTTATTGATTGGTATATTTTATAAACTGCTGCAATTGATTCATTGTTCCATTAGTATGATTTTAACTTTTAATTCTTATTTTAAATTTCATATTGAATTTATTTTTTTGAAAATGTAATTACATACACCCTGTATATTAATTGTATTATAACTTTTTTTTAATTCAAATTGTATTTTGATAAACTTTGTAAATTGTAAATTGGTCTTTTTGTATCTTTGTTTTTTTTTTTTCGGACTTTTGATTGTGTAGTTTAAGAATGATTGTGCAATTTGGTTTCTGTTTTTGTCTAAAGAAGAATTTCCAGTATACTTTTCTGCTATATTTGGACAATAAAGATTTGATTTGATTTGATTTTCATCATCTTAATAAAAATACAGAGGTTTGTGCCACATCTTTTGCCAAGGCATTTTTATTTACCATCTTTCTTATCTTCTCACAGTATGTCCCTTTAAAGACGGCCAAGAAAATATGATGTTCCTCAAGTATGAGTTGAGCGTTTTATAAATAGTGCGGTCCCTTTCCTGACAAATTTGATTAACCATAACCACTGAGGTCTAAATTGAGGTCATTACTTGTGGCTATTTTTTCATGTGAAATGTTGTTATGTTGTGTTTTTTTTTTTACTTCATGAGTACATTCAGCCATGAGGCTGCAAATTGTATAAAGTCTTCAACAAGAAAGTACAACATTCTTTTTTTAGCTATTTCATTTATTATATCCACATTTTTGATAGATGAAACTGAAAGATACTTTAATTAATAAGGTTTTCTTTGTTCTGACATCATTGCAGTTTATTTTTGTTTAAATTTTTAATATTTAATGAGGGCGACCCGACCAACTCACCATTACGGATAAGCTGATATAAGGGGGCTGTTGTTAGCTACTTTTTGGAATACAATCTTGTCTGAGTTAATGAAGTTGGCGATTTTTCAATGCTACATACAGTAAAACATATCAGTAAGGTGATACACAGTACAAATGTACTTTACAGATCCAGAGGTATAAGTTAACACATTTGATAGTGAACCTTAATCCTACAGTACTTGTCTATAATGGAAATATTAGGAAATATTAATATTATTACAAATTTTAAAATAAAACATAATGTTTTGTTTAATTTCAATCCCATCCATTTCTTATGATCGATGATACAATCTGATGATGATGATTAACATTTTTTCAGTTTGATTTTTAATACAACATACCTGGAAGAAATTAGTGAATTACAGTAATAAATTAATGAAGTTACAACATTTTTAACAATAGTAACTGTGCATTTGTTACAGTATATTTTAAACTTTAGAAGACAGATTCAAAGTAGGTGGGGCTAATCTTTCATCCAGTAAGAATACTTGTACACTTTATGGCAATAATTGAAGTATAATAAAATAATATTGTGCAACATTTTTAGGTCTGGAAAATATTTTTTTGTGTCTCATAAAATCATAAAAATGATATTGATGAAATGGCTGCAGTACCAAATGTTGTTCATGTAGCACAACAGTGCTGATCTGTAAAATACAAAAGAAAAAACATTGATGTGTGGTCATGCGCAATACTGTCAATACTGACTGCCCCATTGTCAAAAATGCATGAAATTTCTAAAATGAAATTCCTCCATCGTGTAATAAATATGAATGAAAATCGGTGGCCAAATACCCTACTTCATTGCATGCTTCAACTGAAATCCAATTTTAATGAGTTAAATTACAAATTTCTTGATTCATGTAAGAATATACTTGATAAATGTACAGATTTAAATATGTTTGGACATGTTTTTGATTTAGATAATTTCACTTTTAATTCTTTTCCTGTTAGAACTGTAAATACACATGTTGCAGACTCATACAACGTTGAGTGGGAAACTCAAATTAACCGAAAGCCTTCTCTTAAAAATTATTCAAAATTGAAATCTACACCAAGCTTCGAAAAATATCTGCTTGATAAAACTAATTTTATGGGGGTAAGTCTAAAATTTAAATTAAGGTCCAACACATTACCCCTTGATGGCAAGACCTGCAAATGGTCTAAAGAGATTACTGGTCAGTGTACCTTGTGCCAAAGTGGCGAAACCGAAGATATTCGTCATTTTTTATTTAACTGTAAATCATTTGATATAATCAGAGAGGCAGAATTAGCTATTTTAAAACAAGACCTTGAACTTTGCA